AGAGAGAGAGAGAGAGAGAGAGAGAGAGAGAGAGAGAGTGCGCCAGCATATTATGTGTGCATATGTAATTCGGAAATGCTGTCTAATCATCGAGTTTTTAGGGTCAGTCGTTCGTCTAACATGGTACCAATGTTTGTAGTATTACATAATGTGTCGAGTGAAATAGTATAGACTTGAACTATACTTTACAACCAGTTGTAGCATTTAATAGTGACAATTGATTCTTTAAAAAGCGCCACTGTCTGGGGTGTCGTTGTCAGCGTCGTTTCTATTGTTGTAGTTGTAGTTGTTGTTGCTGCTGCTGCTGCCTGCTGCTGCTGTTGTAGTTGTCGTTGCAGTTTTTGTTATAAGACCCCTTCGACAGCTGAGCCCTGAAATTGGTGGTCCTTCAAAATGTAGGGGGGGGGGGCTGAAAGTATGGGAGGATAACATTTCCTCTTCTTATTCTTCTTCCTCCTCCTACTCATCCTCCTCCTCCTCGTCGTCCTCCTCCTCCTCCTCATCTTGTACAAGGTCACATAAGTTCTGGTTTTAGTTCTATGGACGGAGACTGGCAACTCGTGAGTACTGTCTTAGTTTGTGCGATGTACTGATGACCTGGGGCTCGCAAACATAAGGTCGTGGGTTCGAATCCCATAAGGGGCCCGACTTTGTGTTCTCGGGAGAGGCACTTTACACAAATTTCCCTTACTTCACTCAGGTGGAAATTTCTACCCGACTATGGACACCGAACGATCTTGTCAATTTGTTAGTGAAGCTTGCACGGTATGCTTTCTGGGAAGCCGAGAATGTGTCCAGGCGTTCTGTGGTTTGCAGGGGAAATAATGGTCGTAAAGCACAATAGTATGCTCTAGAGTGTGAATATGTGCCACACAAATTTAATTATTACCACTGTTATTGAAAAATCACAGCAGAAACCATTCGACGAAATATATATGAGGTTTTGATTAAGCTATACACAATAACGTCCAGCCCCTTGCGTCAACAGGCAAAAAAACATCCAGAACAACCAGAGCAACAACAACAACAACAACAACAACAACATCAAGAAGAAGAAGAAGAAGAAGAAGAAGAAGAAGAAGAAGAAGAAGAAGAAGAAGAAGAAGAAGAAGAAGAAGAAGAAGAAGAAGAAGAAGAAGAAGAA